ACATCAACCAATTCATTCAAATTCACAACTCAATTCATCATCAAATTCCATCACCTAGCACATTATGCCCGAATTCCATATCAAATATGCACAAGAAATCGAGGTGAATCAAAGTCGACCACAACAAACTACTCAAATCCTAAGAAAGCAATAAACGTGCTAAAGCAATAAACCTAACATGCAACTACATGAAATGCAAGATAACGTGTTTCTTGAATCCTCTAAAATGACTCCCCCCAAACTTAAATGAAATTCTATGAAACACAAGAAGAGAATAGAAATTCATAGCTAAGGATCAAGAAACACTCACAAAACCTCACTGAGGCAGCGTGCCAAAATGGCCCTCGTCCATGTGCCACTGGTGCATCTGGCGAATCATCGCCATCATCTCTCTCTGATCTGCTCGCACACCTCTCATCTCGGCCTCCAAACTCGTCATCCGATCGTCTAAGCTCAAGGGAGGGGGGAAAACAGGCCTCTCCGCTCCTTGATTGGAGCTCTCCAGGATATCCATCGGAATGTCTCCGCCTCGCTCGTACTTATTCTCCTCCTCCACGCTCGGGTGCAACTCCACGCGAGGTCGGACGTTCCTACGCATGCCCCCAACTGACTGGCCAAATGCCGCTTGCACCTCATTTATCACCGTCGAGTGTGCATCACTCCACATCTTAATGTTCACCACGTCATCGTCACTATCAACCGTGGTAAACTGAGCATTCGGCAACGGGAAATGATCGTGACCCTTCTGTATGAACAAATATCGGTTTCCATCCTGACGAACAAAGTTCATCGCCTTGAGTGCCGCCATATTAATCAACGGCGTGGCACCCACGGGGACCATCATCGTCACATCAACCCCACAAAACATAGCAATGGGTGTAATCAAGCCACCCACGCACACGACCCCCGACTCGGCTATGGCCGCCTCCCACAAATGCGTCGCAACCCACTTTCCGGTAGGTCCGGGATTACTCTTCAACATGCACCAAATGGCAGTAAGCTCTCAGAGAGAACAACCACCCATCTCTCCTCTAGCGAATATGGTGCTCGCCACTGCTTTCTGCAAAAACCTCAACACCAGATTGCGTATGGAGGTTGCTTTGGCCGACTTTGGGATGTAGCTCGGGGCGGGGTGTGATGGAGTCTCAGCTATCAAACTCCAAACATCATTGGCATTAAAGGACGAAGGGAGATTCGGGTCTTCCGAGGCTTGATAAATTTCCTTCTCCAATGTCTTTGTGTCGATGGTGTAACTCTTATTGTCAAACCGGAACTTCATCGTCTTCACCATATGATCATACCCCGTTTTCTCGACCTCCAAGGTGGCAAGGAACTCCAATGTAAGACGGCCATACGTCGGCCATTTATGCGTCATCAAATACTCCCACCCGGCCCTTCGAATTAGCTTCATCACATCATCATATAGGCCGAGAGTAACAAGTGCCTCATCATCAATATATCTCGTCGCAACCATCCTCAAGTTCGAGAGATTCTTCCATCGTACCTTCTCCTCGTCCGACTTCAATCGAACGCCAAACACGGACGGTTGTATAGCCACCCCCGGGATAGCGTTGGCATCCGACCCTCTTCCACGGCCTCTTCCTCCACGATTCGACATATCCTGAGGCAAAACAACAATACCAATTCAACAACCAACAATTTCATCCAAATATAACATCAATACTATCCCGATCAAAATAGTTCTCTTTTACCACAAAATTCCTTCTATCATCTTCTAAACAACTCAAGTACGAATCAAAGAATCATGCCAAATCATCAAAAGCAAACACAAACCACAATTTAAGCACATATCAACACGAAATTCGATTTCAACTATGCTCACCACATGTTCGACAATATGCTCTAACCAAGTTCTTCAACAAAACCCAACAAAATCAACATATAAGAGCACCTCAAACATCAATCCAAACAATAATCCACATCAAAATAAACAATAAACACAAACACATATCAAATTTGCTCAAACTAAACAAAATCCCGAGCCTACTCCCAAGTGAGTTCAAAATCTTACCTTGAGTTCCAAAAAGAGAGTTAGAATCGCACAATTATGGACTTGTTGATGCAAGTGAATGATTACAAGCCAAATTCGAGTAAAAGAATGCTTCTATCTTGCAAATTTAACAAAAGAGCTCCGGTTTTAGGGTTAGGAGAGAAACGGTTCGAAATTTTGTAAGTAAAAGTGAGGAGGATTATGTTTTAAAAGGCTGCTGTTGCCGCGACACGGGCCGTGACACAGTCAGGCAGATCGTGTCGGGGGTCGTGTCGCGTCCCTGGTACTCT